AAAAAAAAAAAAAAAAACGCAAAGAGGATTGTAGCCTTAGCTAAGCTCGTGGGGTGGGTCCCCGTAGTGCACGAGATCTATTTGTCTCAGGGTATCACAGGCACCACATGAGGCGCCCTTTGCAGGTACTTCGACAAACGATGAAGATCTATCAAGAAATCTTGAGTAGATAGAATATGGGGATCTTATTTTAACATACCAAAAGCCATATTCTATCTCCTTCAGGGGGACTCTATCAAGAAATCTTGACAGACATCTTGTGATTTGGACTCGAAGCTCCCAAATTGGAGGTAAAATCCGACAGGGCCTGCAGGGTGCAGGATGTGCCAAGCGGCAATGTCATAGAGCGCCTCTAAATATTCCTCAGAAGCAGCTCAAGGGCACCCTCCGGCACCGCTGCTGATGCGAGGTGCGCAGGTGCGCCTGTGGCAGGTCCTTCCCCCCGTCAATGCCGCGATTGTTGCTGATGAACTGAGCCTAGAAGCAAGCTGCCTCTTTCAGAAAATCTCCGACGCTCCACAAGACAAGGCGCCTTTGTCATCCGGTCCTCTCAGTCATGCCCGTGGCTTGGGGCTTCACACTTCCGTTCCACTCCTTCTCTTTGATGGACGGCTTGTGAAGAGAAGTCTGCAGCATCATGACCTCAAGGAGACAAGGGGATACCAGAAGCTCTCTGTCTTCATGTTACGGGCTGTGCCTCTTCTTTTGCTCTAGACTCCGCGGCTTGCTCTGAATTTCTTGCCACAGCTTCACACCTAAACCAAGGCCGGTCCGGCAAATGCCGGTCCGGTCCCTCAATGGGCAACGAACTAGCATCGCTAGCATCGCTAGGATCGCTAGCATCGCTAGCATCGCTTAGCATCGCTTAGCATCGCTTAGCCCTGTCACCTTAGCCTTCATGCCGGGCGGCAGAGTAGGCCAGAACGTACACACAGTCCTCGTCAGAGAACCTTGCGCAGCATTGCGCAGCCCTCTTCGTGACCCAGCGCTATTTCCTTCCTGATGCCCTGATTTCCTGCCTTCCAGGATTATCACGGCAGTACTTGGCCGCAAAATGCTGCATCAGCCGGTCGATCTTCTGACCCTCACCTGGCAGCCTTGCCACGCAAAAGCAAAGGCCAAAATGCTCCACGAAACATGCGAAAACGAGGCCTGAAGACTGCCAGGAAGGCACGGAGGGCCTCGTCGAACTCCTGCTTCCTCGCGGAATGACATGCCCCGTATGTTCAAAGCGTTCTGCAAGTTGAGCCGCTGGCGCAAAATCAAAGCTTTCCAGCAGCGCATCCAACACCTTCTTGTTGAAGGCCTTGTCCTGGCCACAAAGATCTTTTGGGGCTGGAGAGCTTCTGCAGAGCTGCCGCAGGGCTGGGCAAAGCCTCGCCGAGGTAGTCGCCTCAGACCATCTGCTCGCTAAATTCTGCGAAATTCTCTAATCAAGATGATGCTGCTTAGCCTGCCTATGGTGGTCTTGTCAAGGCCAATCTCCGTGTTTCTAAACAGCGCGGCTAGGGCACCTGAGCTGGCAACCGCTAAGCTTCAGAAGGCCAAGGCTCCAAGGCCCGTCCCCTTCCCCCCACCCTGTTACAACCTGCCCTTCACAGCTTCGCCCTTTGAGCGCTTCGCCTGGATCCTCGGAGACCAGGCCAAGACGTTTCAGGTGTTCGATGCCACGCCTCAGAGGACTTTGGCTAACAATCAGAGTTTATCACGTGAGTTTTAAGGATTTGAGGCCTGTTTACAGGGTGAAGGGTGATTCTCAGTGCAGCTGCCCACTCATTCCTTGCGGCCCAAGACGCTTGGGCTTCAAGTTGAACTTGCTGACGCCCTCCTGCAGCAAGCTTGGAAAGGGCCAGTCTCCTTTGACAAGCACTTCAGCCTGAAACAAACCAAAAACCCAAATCCATGATTGAAAATCCTGTTTCGTAAACTTCTGATAAACACTTTCATCCCGCATCTCCTGTAGCTCTCGTTTCCGTCGCTTCTGGTCCAGGGCCACCGCGGCGCCTTGGAGAAGCTGTGAGAAGCCTCTGAAGCTAGGTACAACCACGAAGTCACTATGAGCAAGTCCACGGTAACTTCACCATATATCAAGACTTGCTGCATGGAAGTTTCCATGCACAGTTTTCTCCTCAAAAGTTCGTTCATCTTCATTCATGAAGGAGGCCAAGGAAAAGCGTTTGCCGGGCCCGTGGCTGCCCAGGGCCTCAAATTCAGAAAGGGCTCGAGTCAGCGGAAACTTGGAGAGCCAGCACAGCTAGGCAAAGCTAGGCAAAGCTAGGCGCAGCTAGGCTGCAGGCCTCCACAGTTTCGCTCTCCTCGTTTTCCTTCTCAGGAGACTCTAGGAACCACAAGGCATTGAGGAAGGCTGCGCAATGTGCAATCGACCTGGTCCTCCGGCGCTGGCGCTGGCTCCTGTCCACAAAAGCAATTCTCCCCCCGCCGAAGCTGAAAGGCTCCAGGCTCTTTCTCGAGCTCCTGCCGAAGCGGCAGCGGGCCTGACACAGCATACGGCGCTATATACTTCTCATACTGCAGCTTAAACAGATCGATTTCAATCCGCCACGGCCCCCGACCTCTGGCGTTTGACCCTCCTTCCCCCCTCCCAGCAGAGCAGTGTGCAGTGAGGGTCTCCGCCCAACCCGTTATTGAGCGGGCGGCTCGGCGGAAAGCATGGGGGTCGCGCCTCAGAATCAGGTGACCGCGCGGGATTCTAGCCTGGTCCCTGGGGGTGGTTCTGAGAAACTGAATCCCACCCAGCCCCCCTGGTCCCCCACGTTTCTCTGGTTGGCATCTTTCAATCTAATTGCGCTGGAAAAAATCTTTCTAAAACATTCAGGTCTGCCTTGGTCCTTTTCTCTTGCCCCCGGTCTCCTCCTCTCGGTAAGGAGATTCTGGCCATCCAGGTAAAGGCGGGTCCCTGAATCGCTTCTGATTTTTTAGCCCCCCCTCCCGGGCCCGGCCCCCGCGCCCCCTGCTCCCACCACCTTCTACTCCTCACGCTATAATCGGCTTCTTTCAACCAACTGCGCATTCCATACAAGTGTCTAGGGATGTTATGAACAAATGTCCAGGGAGATTTTATAAGGCCATTCAGGCATCACACAGGCTTGATTTGAAGCTGTCTTGTTCAAGGCTGCTACACAGGCGAGCCGGCCGAGGCGGTGCGCGTTAGCGTTCATATTACAACCACTTCACGACACCCAGATCTTCTGCACCTCGGGGTTGTTGGTGGTTGGCATGCGATCCTTGCTCTCGTGCCAGCGCGAATGAGTGCGTTGCGCGTGCCTATAATCCCCGGCTGTCCTCCTTGGGCTTCCACTGCCAGCGACTTCACCAAGGCCCTGGTGAGGCGCGAGCTGGCACGAGCTCCTCTGGCCATTTGCTGCCAAGGATCAGCAAAGCAGTGAGCGCCAGGATTCGCAACTTGTGCTCCTGGGCAGCGAGGGTGAGGGGAGAAGGAGATTCCAACCGCAAGCTTGCATGCTGTGAGCCTGCTCTGGCTGAATGACACTTGCATGCTCACTGGAGGTGTACTTGCCGGTGGCAATCCTCGCTCAGAGGCACAAAAGAGGTGCGAGGCAGCTTACAGTCTGGCCTGGACAAAGCCTCGATCATGCGCTCTAACACATTCCGCCTGACAAAGATGACCGCTAGATGCGTCAAAGGCAACAAAGAAAACATGAATTCAGACACCTGCTACAACTCTAGCCATTTGCAGTAGGAAGCTTGTGAGCTCCGGGGCGCTTGTGAAGGTCGCAGTCGAAGACCAGGAACACGGCGAGCACGGCGGAAGCCGCCTCCCCGAACAGTGTCGACGAGACCTCCCCACAGGAGAGCAAACGGCCACAGAAGCAGTGCCCGGCAGCAGCCATGCTTCATGTTCATACACCATGTCTAATGTTGGACCCGCTTATGCA